ATATCAATGAAAATCAATAAATCAATAATTCAATGATAATCAATATCCATCAATGGCAATTAATTGATTGATATTGTAATCAATGAAAATCAATAACTGAAAGCTGAGTTAGTACCGATTTTATATTGATTATCATTGATTACTACTGATTATTTACATCCGTTACGACAATATGTTTCTGTCAACGTACATCATCAGCGCTCAGCTGGTAGCCATTTCTGTGTTTTTAATCAAATAAGTATTGTAGTGGTTTATGTTCTAAATGTATATGTTATAGCTTTTAATATCATAATTATATGGTAGTATAATTATGATATTATTGCGTAATGTATAATTTCGTAGTATAATTATTGTGATGTTATCGCATGTGATACCTCTAACAACAGAATAGATAGTCAGTAGCATATCAGTGTGCGTTTGTTGACAAAATGACGGCCGCGTCTTTGCGTTTTCGAGGTGTCTTTGAAGAGAATTTAGATTTAGTTTTGAACGACTGGTAGAATTACACTAAAACAATGAGATTATTCGTTCTCGATTTCGATTTCTATGCGTGATAGTTGACAAGGAATGCGCCCTTGTCAACCATCACGCGATATGCGATAGACCTTGTTAACACACCGTCGAATCTTCGGATACTTACAATGTTCTGTGAGTCTTCATATTTGTCCGCAACTCGACGCCAAGGCTTCTGCATCTTTCTATCATGGCCTTACAATTGTTTTCTACCGTGCCTAAGTCAATTAGAAAGGCTGGAGTTCGCAAATCGCTGACATGTTCTTTCGCCGCCATTTTTGATGCATTCAGTTACCGCTTCATATATTGTGGACTCGAGTGTCTCTTTCACTCCAGCCTGCAGAAGACGGCGCGATACTCGTGTCCGGGTCCGAGCGCTAGAAGAGGTCAGAAACGGTCACCTGCCGGTCACCTGCCGGCGGAGGGTCGGCAGCATATGAGAACCATGGGGGTGCTTTCCATCATGCCAAAGAATCCTGAAATTTCGGTCGGAATTCAAATGGAAAGGGCTGTTTCGGTTTCTTCCGACCGGAATATTTGGGATCACCTCTGGAGGTGGTCCACTTATTTCCGTCGGAATATTCCGACCGAAATTCACCGTTCCATTTCTGACAAACCGGTTCTTTGCCTTAATTAGGGAATTCGGAAAAGGAATTAAAAAATGGCAAGAGCCATTCCTATTGCCTGCCCCGGTTTAATCTGAAAATGTCGTTCCACTGATCTGTCGCCCCAGGCTTTACCTGAGCCCGCAAGCAGGGCTAGAGATGCGCAGAAAACTGCGCAGCCTGCCGCAGCAGGTAGAGGAGAGAGAGAGCCTGGGAACCAGGTTGCGTTCAACCTCATCCTCAGGATCTTTAACCTGCGAACGCAGACGTATTTCCGGCTGTCGCTTGTCTCCGCCGAAAATAACGTCTGCGAACCCGAGCCAGGAAATGATTTCTGTAACGTAATAACTTTTGTTTCTCCTTGGCCAATCAGATTCCATGCAT